TACAACTCTGGAAAGGCCATCAACTCCTGGATATAATTTTGCTCCTCATTTTTTTTCAAATCCACATATCAACACAACAGAGTGACTTAAGAAACGATGTCAATAAATAATGTGTACAGATTTTAGAAATACATGGAACGGGGCGTTTTTTAACATAAGCCAGAAGAAAAACCCATATTGCACGGAGGGAGAAAAGCAGGCATCATAAAATATTTTAGAAACCACTTCATCAAATGAACAGTCTGAAAGGCGACATCAGCTTCACCATGGAAAAGGTGTTTTACTAACATGGACATTTTAATAGCATTACACATTTTCAGTGGGCTACCTCTGAATTCCAGGATGCCTGGCTGGCTCCTTAAGAGCCTGTTCAGACATATTTTGCTGTATTATAACAATCACAAGGACTGTTATAAAATCCTTCTCTCATATAGACATGGTCAGTTGCTGTCACATTTGATGCCGAAAACAATGTAATTACCTGCTGTATTCCTCACATTCACCTTTACCTGAGTGTCCCTTAGAAAGACCTACAAGATTTCTGATTGCAACAGCTGTCAGTCAGAATTTGGAATATCTTATTCAGGTGTTCTATACATAGGAGGAATTTCCCATTAAAGCACCTGAAGTAAAATAAAATGAAGTAAAATCTGATACCTAATGTTTCCACTTGATGCTGACTCTCCCCTCATCTTCAATCAAGGTAATATTTTGCCTTGTACGGACAGGATTAGCCCATCAAAACGCGAAGGCAAAAACAATATTCGCAACTAATCTACTTGTGCTTCAATGTGTCCATGCTTCATTACTTTCCATTTATAAAAAGGACATTAAATGAAGAAATGTTTGCAGTGCAAACGATTTCAGAAGGTAACTTGAATTAAAATAAACCAAACCAGGGGGTAAGTTGGGAAGATTGGATAGCTTTTCAAAGTATTTATTTTTTTATTACCAAGATAGGAAAATCAGATGTTTTATTTGTGTACACACATTTCTTGTTGCATTTTCTATAAAGATATCCATTAAAACTTTCAGAACATCATGCAGGAATGAAATATATAACCTATAACTATTGTGCATATATAAAAGTTAACATCTCCAATGTTCAATAGTATCAGAAAAACATCCATCAACTAGCAAATGTCTGCCTAAAGAGAAATGGATTGTTAGATATTAAACCCAAATCTTTATCCGATATCTCACTGTGCCTATTCCATGGAAACACACATTGATAATCTTTTCCTTAAATGCAAATATTTTTAAAGGAAAAATCACTCAATTGTCAAAAAGCTAGCTGGATAGTCATCTGTTGGGGGTGCTTTGAATGTGATTTTTCCTGCTTCTTGGGAGGGGGTTGGACTGGACGACCCACAAAGTCTCTTCCAACTTTATGATTCTGTGGTTATGAGCTCTTTTCTGTCGCTTCTCAAGATATCTGATAAAAGACAATGACCAGAATAGACATAGTATTCTATAGCTCAGATTTATACAACAGGCATTCTTATTCCTTTCCTCAAAATGCCTACCACAACTTTTCATTGTTTCAATTCCTTCTACTCTATGCTGTTACAATTAAACTGTAGTACAGAGTTGAGTAATTGCTTGTATTAATAGTCAAAATCCTCTTGCTCAACGAAAAGGCATCCTGGATTAAATAAGTTCTTAATAGAAGTACATGTAAATGCATGCAAATTACAAGTGACATCTTAGATAAAGCATTATCCATCACTAACCTCATCGCAAAGAGACCAAAAATATGTTATAGTTATTTAAATTTGCAAAAATGTAACCAATTAAGCTTTCCCTTTGGAGAAGCCACAAGTACTTAGCAAGACATGTTCTTTTTATGTTTTGACAAGGCACTTCCCAATGTTCTATGCTTCAATAAGAAAATATGGACAGTCATGCTATTCTGGAATTGTCCTAAATGTGTAAAAATAAACGATTCTGTCTTTCAGCTGGGACATATTTGGAGGCATGCAGGAAAGACCAAGGAATAGAAGGTTTAACTGCTTCAGCTAGAAGTTCAGGCTGAACTATCGACTGCTTTCTTCCAAGAGCAGCTTATTTGATTCTATCAATTCTGTAGCTAACAAATAAAGGCATGATTCATGCATTGAAAAGTGATGAAGTAAGACAAGAGAGTAGAGTGATCACAAAAGGATTAAACACAGTCAAACTATATTGCTGGAGTTCCTATTTGTTTCATTATACTAATTCAGGTGGAGCCCCCGGTGGCGCAGTGGGTTAAACCCCTGTGCCGACAGGACTGAAGACCGACAGGTTGCAAGTTCGAATCCGGGAAGAGGCAGATGAGCTCCCTCTATCAGCTCCAGCTCCTCATGCGGGGTCATGAGAGAAGCCTCCCACAAGGATGATAAAACATCAAATCATCCGGGCGTCCCCTGGGCAACGTCCTTGCAGACGGCCAATTCTCTCACACCAGAAGCGTGTTTCTCAAGTCACTCCTGACACGACAAAACAAAAACAAACAAACAAAAAAAAAAACACCAAAACAAACTAATTCAGGTTTAGTATTCACTTAATTTATAAAATCAATAATAATAATATCTAACAATGAAAAAATGATCTTTGATCTTCCAGTCCCCCAGATGTTTGCAAATAGTTACTTCTATTCAAAAGTAAACTTCTTTATTTTAACTGAGCATTATTCCAAGAACCGTTTACGGATGTCGCTGCGTGGGAATGCGACAGAAATCAAAATCCTCACTGTCAATGATTGGATAACTTAATCTCCAGTAATTTATAGGCGACCTAACAAATCACCAATATGCAAGGATTATGCTAATCCACCATTACAAGGCAACTTCTTTCTTTAATACTTTTTGGACTTATATTTGAGCCAATCCACTTATTTTCCAATTCTTTATGAAGTGAACTTTAACCTACAAACCTTGGCTTCTGACTACAAGTCAGGCATGCCTTTGAGAGGGCAATTTTATTGAACATGAGGGAATCTGGTAGGACTCACAGCAGCTCTCATTAGGAGGTCAAGTTACCCACAGTTCCCTGAAATGCAGGAATTAGTTTCAGACTACAGTCTGGGTGAAGAGAGTTGCAAGGGTGAGTTCAAAGTCTAGAAGAACACACATATATCACAGTGGAAAACTGCAAGAGGTTGAGCATATTTTTAGTCCCATTTTGATTTGGCATTTCAATACTAAATAATTAGTGGTGATCAGAAGACTCAAAATAGGTAAGATTTTGGCATCATAGAGTGTGAAAAGGCCTTGAGTTTAATTAATTAATGGCCTCTGATGAGGTCCTCCTCCTGATCCCACCACCGATCCCACCACCTTCGCAAGTGCGATTGATGGGGATAGGCCTTCTCAGTGATGGCCCCTTGTCTGCTAAACTCCTTCCCCAGTGAAATCAGGTCAGCTCCCTGGCTCCTGTCTTTCAGGAAGAAGCTTAAGACATGGCTGTGAGACCAAGCATTCATCCAGTAAATAGTACAATAAGGGTAACAGACTAATGGAATTGATAACTGGATAGGCCTTGGACTATGATCTGGATTAAGTGATTTTTTTATATATTTTAACACTTAATGTTTAATTGTATGTTTTTAAATGTATTTGTTTATTTTTATATTTATATGTATTGGCATCAAATCGCTACCTGCTGTAAGGCTGCCCTGAGTCTCCTTTTAGGGGGAGAAGGGCGGGATACAAATATGCAAAATAAATAAATATTGAAAATGGATAGTCTCTGGCCAATTCAATTATAAAACCACTCCTTGAAGTCCAGTGTCTTCTGCAATAATAACACAGTGCCTTAAAAAAGGCAAAATCAAGGTATACAAAATTTAAGGTCCTGAATCCATGAAATTAAAAGAAAATTAAAAAACGGTTTCTAAGGAAGTGAGTTAAAAAAGAATGGCATTGGCACATTGTCATGAATGTTCCCATTCATCTGATCCACCAGTTTTTTTAATGAAAATTTGACAATAGCAAGGGACTCCTAAGACTCTCACAAACCACAGCAATGTAGCTATGCTGGCTGTTGCTTCCTTGTCTTAAACTTAACAACTTGGTCCTCATTGGCAAAGGGAACCATGGCCACATTTAGGAGCCATGGACAGTGGCCAATCCAGCCTCTGCCTGCTCCACAGAGCATTGCCTGGTTGACAAGGGGCATGTGCAAGCACAGAGCCACAGTCAGACAATGTACATGCAAATTTAGCATGAATCCACCTGCTCATCTTATCAAAGGGTGAAGCAACTGACTGGAATCTGTAGCAGCTGTGGGTTAGCAAGGAATCTGCTGATGAAAGAAAGAGGTATCTCTCTCCTGGCACACGCTTAGAATGTATTGGATGGCGCTGTAATGCCTAGACAAAACAGTAGGCTGCTTTGGCATGAAGTAAAAGAAAGGAACTATCAGAAGTAAACGTGTGCAGCTATTCTTTAAAACAGCAAAATGGTTTTGATATCTTTTCTCTCTCTCTCTCTCTCTCTCTCTCTCTATATATATATATATATATAGGAAAAGTGATTTAAAGATGGGCTCAAAGCCAACCTTTAAAAGTCTGGCATAGACCCTGAGAACTAGGAAGCCCTGGCCCTTGAGGGCTCCAGCTGGAGGTCAGCTGTGACCAGCAATGCTGTAGGATTTGAAGAGGCATGAATGGAAGGTGAAAGAGAGAAACGTGCCAAGAGGAAGGCGCATCAAGCCAACCCCGACCGGAACCACCTTCCACCTGGAAACCAATGCCCTCACTCCGGGAGAAGATGCAGATCAAGAATAGGACTCCACAGTCACCTACGGACCCACCGGCAGTACACTGATCCTGGAAGACTATCCTACTCAGACAATGAGGGATTGCCTAAGTAAATAAGTATATGTACGTGTACGTGTATGTGTGTGTGTGTGTGTGTGTGTGTGTGTATATATATCCTAAATATAAAACATCCTAGCAAAAGAAAACTGCAACTAACTATTGTGAAACAGACCTACTTCAAAGCCCTTTCTAAACCTACTTCAAAGCCCTTTCTAAAAAGTCCCAATCTCTTTTCAGCACTGATTTGGAGGAGAGTGAAAGGAATGGGTATGAAATCAAATCTAAAAAAAACAACCCACCCCACATTTATTTGTAGTTAAACCCTACACCAAATCAGGGCATCGTAAAATCACATGTCCATTATTTTACCTTGATATCTTACATACTATGAAATGAAACATATCCCTTAATAAAGGACTAGAACATATCCCCATATCCCTTAATAAATGTCTAGCAAAGTATTATAAATTGTATAGATATACTGTAAGAAAGAGTATTGAGAATCTGCGGTAACAGGCTAACACAGACTTCAGGAGGAAATTCTTGTTAGGTTTTTCATGCCAAAAATTAGAACTCATGCTGACAAGCTTCTCCCAAATGGAAGGTAAAAATGCAAAACAAAACATGAACATTACCAAATCCCATGTTGTCAGACAGTGAATTTAGAACAATTAAATATTGTACAGCGCAGGGTTTAGCTTAGTGCACATCATTTCCATCCTCCAGCCTTTGTTTCTATCCTTGTGGTTGATACATGACCCCCACCGATGTATCATAACTTTAAGTGCTGAACACAAAAAGGTCTTCTAAGCAAGCAGCTGTTTCACCAGACTGAGAAATTATCGCTGCTTTGGAATTATAAGGTTTCTCAGCATGTCAAAAGAATTGCCATCTGGGTGCACAGTTACTACGCCTTTGCCTTCCTCGTGAACTTGCAGGAATCCAGAATCATCTACTCCAACGATCCAAGCCATTGGCCCTTCATCGCTTCCTAACTGGACTTGTTTACCACTGCAAACGGAAAACAAACATTGCTCATATTATAAAACTGGAGTGTATCAAATTTCACAGAACCACATCAAACTAGTTATAATGAATCCCTCCCATCCAAATATATTATATTCCATGATTTCTGATTATCTAGATTTCTTTTGTAGTGCATCACAATAAATCAGTCCTGTGTAAATATTTACACTTAACAATACAGCAACTATGTATATAGTAGGAGCTCCAAGAAGCTTTTCATATTTGATAAGCCAGGTCCTTTGATATCTTATAATAGAAATCAGATAAAAGCCAGTGTAGAAGTACCGTATATACTCGAGTATAAGCCAATCCGAATATTTATTTATTTATTTATTTATTTATTTATTTATTTATTTGGTGCATTTGTTGACCGCCGCTCTCAGCCCTAGGGCGACTCGCGGCGGTGTACAACATATAAAAAACCATTTACAATAGAACAAAAACAGAAAATCAACATATCAATAATATACAATAATCTAAATTACACTAGATAATCCGCTCCGTCACATAATCGAATCGTAACCAGTCTCGTAATCCATTCCGTTCCGGTTGTCATTACCAATTAGTATAGCACTCAGTTAAATGCCTTCTCGAATAGCCAGGTCTTTAAGCTCTTACGGAAAGACATAAGGGAGGGCGCCTGTCTGATGTCAGCAGGGAGAGTGTTCCACAGCCGGGGGGCCACCACCGAGAAGGCCCTCTCTCTCGTCCCCGCCAGACGTGCCTGTGAGGCAGGCGGGATCGAGAGAAGGGCCTCCCCAGACGATCTCAAGGCCCTCGTGGGCTCATAGGCCGAGATGCGGTCCGAAAGGTATTTTGGGCCGGAACCGTTTAGGGCTTTGTAGGATAACACCAGCACCTTAAATTGGGCCCGGTAGCAAATCGGCAGCCAGTGGAGCTGAGACAACAAGGGCGTTGTGCTCCCTGCGTCCCGCTCCAGTTAGTAACATGGCTGCCGCGCGCTGGACTAGCTGAAGCTTCCGGGCCGTCTTCAAGGGCAGCCCCACGTAGAGAGCGTTGCAGTAGTCAAGGCGGGATGTGACCAGAGCGTGTACCACCGTGGCCAAGTCAGACTTCCCAAGGTACGGGCGCAGCTGGCGCACGAGCCTAAGCTGTGCAAATGCTCCCCTGGTCACCGCTGAAACCTGGGGATCCAGGCTCAATGATGAATCCAGGGTCACACCCAAGCTGCGAACCTGCGCCTTCAAGGGGAGTGCGACCCCGTCCAGCACAGGCTGTAACCCTATACCCTGTTCGGCCTTGCGACTGACCAGGAGTCCCTCTGTCTTGTCTGGATTTAATTTCAGTTTGTTCGCCCTCATCCAGACCATTACAGCGGCCAGGCACCGGTTCAGGACCTCGACAGCCTCCTTAGTAGCAGGTGGAAAGGAGTGACAGAGTTGGACATCATCTGCGTACAGATGACACCGCACCCCGAAACTCCGGATGATCTCACCCAGCGGCTTCATGTAGATATTAAACAGCATAGGGGACAGTATAGAGCCCTGTGGAACCCCACAGGTCAAAGGCTGTGGTGTTGAACAGGAGTCCCCCAATAACACCTTCTGGGTACGGCCCTCCAGAAATGACTGGAGCCACTGCAGAGCAGTGCCCCCAAGACCCATTTCCGCAAGGCGCCCCAGAAGGATACCGTGGTCGACGGTATCGAAGGCCGCTGAGAGGTCCAGGAGCACCAACAGGGACACACTCCCCCTGTCTAGCTCCCGGCGCAGATCATCCACTAAGGCGACCAAGACCGTCTCGGTTCCATGTCCCGGTCTGAAACCAGACTGCGCCAGATCCAGATAATCCGTGTCTCTCAAGAATACCTGGAGTTGTGAGGCCACCACGCTTTCCATGACTTTGCCCAAAAAGGGGAGATTGGAAACAGGCCGAAAGTTGTCAAATTTAGTGGGGTCCAATGATGGTTTCTTCAACAGCGGTTTTATAATAGCTTGTTTTAAGCTCGCTGGAATCTTGCCTTCCCGAAGGGAGGCATTAACCACCACCGTTACCCACTCAGCCAATCCCCCTCTGGCCTCCTTCAGAAGCCAGGATGGGCAGGGGTCTAGGATGGACGTGGTGGGCCTCATTCCTCCAAGTATCTTGTCCACATCCTCGGGCTTCACAAACTGAAAAGAATCCTGAGGCACCTAATTTTACCACAAAAATGGGGAAACATATTGACTCGAGTATAAGCTGAGGGTGGGAAATGCAGCAGCAACTGGTAAATTTCAAAATAAAAATAGATACCAATAAAATTATATTAATTGAGGCATCAGTAGGTTAAACATTTTTGAATATTTACATAAAACTGTAAATTAAGATAAGACTGTCCAACTCTGATCAAACCATTATCCTAGCCTTCTTTAATGTAAATGTTCTTACGTATCCTTCCAATATTAATAAACTAATGGAAATGTAATAATAACAATAATAGAGTAAAATAATAAATGTAATAAAATAATAATATTAACAGAGTAAAATAATAAATAACCTTGACTCGAGTATAAGCTGAGGGGGCTTTTTCAGCCTAAAAAATGGTAATTCTTCAAAAATAAATATGGATTCTATGCAGTAAACTGTGTAACTTAACAATCTACCATTGGGAACAATGGCAGTAAATACTTACTATACCTACTTACATCTGTCACATAGTTCTGTTTTTTAAAATTAGGGCATTACTGCTTTCCGAGGTTAGATCTATTAATAAAAAACTTGACTCTGTTGCCCACAGCCATGTCAGTTCATTCAATATAAGCCCCCCATCCCCCCAATTTAATGCTATATAGAAGTTATTTTCGAGAGGGAATGCATCAAGGAAGGGAAGCGCCTGCTTTTCCATTGACCCCATCTACACTGCCCATTTAATGGATTTTGAAGCTAGTTTCAGACCGCAACAGCCAGACATTAAACAAAAATATGGGAAAGAAAGATCTTAATGCATAACTGTGGTTTGCACAATCAGCATCTGAGCCTCAAACTGGTTCCAGGATTTCCTATGTAATCATCTGCACAGAGAACCTATTTTGTCAATACTGGCTTTGAAACTGACTTAAGTGGTCAGTGTAGATGTGCCCCAAGTCACAAGCTGGACTCCCTGCATGACAGCAACATACAGAGAGAAAAACCCCTTGCATTGCTGCTAATGGAATTGTTTTCAAAATGTAATTGCCACACATGTTGGATGAGGAAATTCAACTGGGGAGTAGAGCAAGCAGCGAGAATAGAGCTAGTCATGCCTAAACCAACCTTCACAGATTTTTGAAAGTTTATTTAATTCCCTGTGAGAGAAGCTGGGATTCAATCTGTTTCTTCTCTGGCTTCTTGCAATATTTATGGCTAATTCATAGCTTGTGTTTAGCACATTGAGGGAGGTAACAATTGAAATGCAGCATTTCAAAATACAGTACATCAAAATACCTAGTGAAATGTAAGCATTCTGATATATTTTAAAGTACACATGGAGGACAACACAATGCAGTTAAATCTTCATTCATATAAACAAATGCACAATGAAGAAGCTTATTTGGAGAGAAACAAAAGCCCAGCTTGTCACTATAGCTTTAAGAGATTTACTTAATAGTTTGATAGGGTTAGTTCAGACTAGCTTAAACAATTATGAATACGAAGGCCGGAAGGAAGACCTTACTTACCTATGTATCCAGTACTTATAATACAAGGGAAGAACGCCATTTGGTCCTTTCTCTTGAAAAGTACTGATCAGATTTTCCAGCACTGTCACACTTCTTGCAATTAGACAGTCAGCACTTAAGGGTTTTAAATTTGTATTCTTTGTCTTATTGTGCTCAATAATGAGATCATTGATGCATAGCGTAGGATTGCTGTTATTCACGTTAAATCCACAGCCTGAGGAGGAAAATGTAATCAGAAAGGTGATGTAGAAGTTCAATTTCTCTACAAAACTCTCTTTTCTTACTGTAATATAAACACATCCATCAAGACAACTGTGGAAATCCTTCCATAGTTTTCCAGAAGACATTTGGTTTCAGTGATGATGAAAGATGAACAAGCTCATATAAACACAAGTCTTTCATGCTTGCCAAAGACAAGACAGTCTGCTGATATTTATGACAGCATTTTCTCCCTCTAATGAAAAACCAGTAGCGTTAGTCTCAAGTCTATCCACACAGAAACACAACTGTTTGGAGAAAAAGAAATCCAACAAGTGTATTCTTGAACATTAACTCACTAAACCATTTAAGGTTCTAAATATCATTATCAGCACCTTGAATTCTGACCGCAAACGTACTAGCAACTGGTGCAAATCTAGTGAGGTTATACCTATCCAGAAATGGCTATGGCTGGCAGATAAGCTGACTCAAAACACTCTGAGTCAAAAAGTACAAATAAGTGACAGATCTAGGAAAGATGGATCCATCTATGGCAGGGTGTTAACTCAGTTCCAAGATCCAGAAAGTAACACACTACAGAGATTTCATCTTATTAGGACTAAGTTTCAGTTGATTAACCATAATCCAGTCTAGTGGTTCTCAACCTGTGGGTCCCAGGTGTTTTGGCCTACAACTCTCAGAAATCCCAGCCAGTTTATCAGCTGTTAGGATTAGATATCCTTGTTTCTGTTATTGGGCTGTTGTAATTTTAGAGTTTTTTAATAGTGGTAGCCAGATTTTGTTCATTTTCAGGGTTCCTTCCTTTCACAAGCATGTGGACAATTTCAACAGAAAGGAGGAAACCATGAAAATGAACAAAACCTGGCTACCACTATTAAAAACTCTAAAATTACAACAGCACAACAACAGAGAGGAAACAAACAAGGACATCTAATCACCTCTCAACAAAAGTTTGCTCCAGGCACTGTCAGGCCATTATATGCTAATCAAGGTGGTCAGTTGAAACATTCACACCTAGCTCCAGCAGACAAGAGTCCTTTGTCCCACCCTGGTCATTCTACAGATATATAAACCCTTTTTCCTAGTTCCAACAGACCTCACTACCTCTGAGGATGCTTGCCATAGATGCAGGCGAAACGTCAGGAGAAATGCCTCTAGACCATGGCCATATAGCCCGAAAAAAACCTACAACAACCCAGAAATCTTGGCATTTAAAAAGGAGTTAACTAATAATGTTGGTTGCTGTAAGAATAATCTTTCTCAACAAACTTCACAGAGTAATATAGGTTTTGGGGTATACGCCTGTAAACATGCCTTGAAAAACATATAGAATCATAGAATCAAAGAGTTGGAAGAGACCTCATGGGCCATCCAGTCCAACCCCTGCCAAGAAGCAGGAATATTGCATTCAAATCACCCCTGACAGATGACCATCCAGCCTCTGTTTAAAAGCTTCCAAAGAAGGAGCCTCCACCACACTCCAGGGCAGAGAGTTCCACTGCTGAAGGCTCTCACAGTCAGGAAGTTCTTCCTCATGTTCACATGGAATCTCCTTTCTTGTAGTTTGAAGCCATTGCTCCGCGTCCTAGTCTCCAGGGAAGCAGAAAACAAGCTTGCTCCCTCCTCCTCCCTGTGGCTTCCTCTCACATATATTTATACATGGCTATCATTTCCCCTCTCAGCCTTCTCTTCTTCAGGCTAAACATGCCCAGCTCCTTAAGCCGCTCCTCATAGGGCTTGTTCTCCAGACCTTTGATCATTTTAGTCGCCTCCTCTGGACACATTCCAGCTTGTCAATATCTCTCTTGAATTGTGGTGCCCAGAATTGGACACAATATTCCAGGTGTGGTCTAACCAAAGCGGAATAGAGGAGTAGCATTACTTCCCTAGATCTAGACACTATGCTCCTATTGATGCAGGCCAAAATCCCATTGGCTTTTTTTGCCGCTACATCACATTGTTGGCTCATGTTTAACTTGTTGTCCACGAGGACTCCAAGATCTTTTTCACACGTACTGCTCTCGAGCCAGGCGTCCCCCATTCTGTATCTTTGCATTTCATTTTTTCTGCCAAAGTGGAGTATCTTGCATTTGTCACTGTTGAACTTCATTTTGTTAGTTTGTCCCATCTCTCTAATCTGTCAAGATCGTTTTGAAATCTGCTCCTGTCCTCTGGAGTATTGGCTATCCCTCCCAATTTGGTGTCGTCTGCAAACTTGATGATCCTGCCTTCTAACCTTCATCTAAGTCATTAATAAAGATGTTGAACAGGACCGGGCCCAGGACGGAACCCTGCGGCACTCCGCTCGTCACTTCTTTCCAGGATGAAGAGGAAGCATTGGTGAGCACCCTCTGGGTTCGTCCATTTAACCAATTACAGATCCACCTCACGTAGTTTTGCCTAGCCCACATTGGACTAGTTTCCTTGCCAGAAGGTCATGGGGGACCTTGTCGAAGGCCTTACTGAAATCCAGGTACGCTACATCCACGGCATTCCCGCATCTACCCAGCTTGTAACTCTATCGAAAAAAGAGATCAGATTAGTCTGGCATGACTTGTTTTTGATAAATCCATGTTGACTATTAGCAATGACAGCATTTGTTTCTAAGTGTTTGCAGACCACTTCCTTAACAATCTTTTCCAGAATCTTGCCTGGTATTGACGTGAGGCTGACCGGACGGTAGTTGTTTGGGTCATCCTTTTTTCCCTTCTTGAAGATTGGGACCACATTGGCCCTCCTCCAATCTGCTGGAACTTCTCCTGTTCTCCAAGAACTCTCAAAGATGGTTGCCAATGGTTCCGAAATGACTTCCGCTAGTTCCTTCAATACTCTTGGGTGTAGTTGATCTGGCCCTGGGGACTTGAACTCATTTAGAGCGGCCAGGTATTCCTGTACGACTTGTTTCCCAATTTGGAGTTGGATGTCCTCAAATCCCTCATCCACTCCGTCTTGCTGAGGTTGAAGATGACTTTCTTTTTGTGAGAAGACCGAGGCAAAGAAGGTATTAAGTAGTTCTGCCTTTTCCCTATCCCCTGTCAGCATTGCCCCATCTTCTCCTCGAAGAGGCCCTATCGCCTCCTTGTTTTTCCTTTTTCTACTGACATAAGAAAAGAATCCTTTTTTATTGTTTTTAATGTCCCTGGCAAGTCTGAGCTCTTTTTGTGCTTTAGCCTTGCGGACCTTTTCCCTACAGGTGTTGGCTATTTGTTTGAATTCTTCTTTGGTGATTTCTCCCTTTTTCCACTTCTTGTGCATGTCTCTTTTGTGTCTCAGCACAGTTAGAAGTTCTTTGGACATCCATTCTGGCTTCTTTGCACTTGTCCTATTTTTTCTTTTTGTTGGCACAGTTTGCAACTGCGCCTTGAGTATTTCACTCTTGAGAAACTCCCATCCATCCGTAACTCCCTTGTCTTTTAGTATCTGTGTCCACGGAATGCTGCTCAGTGTTTCCTTCATTTTTTGGAAATCAGCTCTCCTAAAGTCCAAAATGCGGGTTTGACTTGTCTTAGTTTCGGCCTTTCTTTGTACCTCAAATTGCAGGAGCACATGGTCACTTGCCCCTAAGGATCCTACCACTTCAACCACATCGATCAGGTCCTCCACATTTGTTAGGATGAGATCAAGAGTAGCCAATCCCCTTGTTGCCTCTTCTACCTTCTGGACCATGAAATTGTCTGCAAGGCAAGCGAGGAATTTGTTGGACCTTGTACTCTTGGCCGAGTTTGTTTTCCAGCAAATATCGGGATAGTTGAAATCGCCCATGACTACTACATCTCTTCTCTGTGCCTGTTTGGTCAACTGTTGGCAGAAGACTTCATCAAGTTCTTCCTCCTGGCTTGGAGGTCTGTAGTAGACTCCTACAACAAGATCTTTTTGAGTCCCAGTTCCCTTGATTCTTATCCAGATGCTTTCAAGCTGGTTTCCCGGATTGCTGTCATGCATTTCTTCTGCAGCATAAGAGTTTTTGACATATAAGGCTACTCCGCCTCCTCTCTCCTTTGTTCGGTTTCTGTGAAAGAGGTTATAGCCCTCGATGTCTACATTCCAGCGATAGGAGTCATCCCACCAGGTTTCAGTGATGCCTATGATCATATTTGTGGTGTTGTGCTAAAAGTTGGAGTTTGTCTTGTTTATTTCCCATGCTCTGTGCATTAGTGTAAAGACATGTGAGTCCCTGAGATCTTCCCCTGAGCTGTTTAATTGGGATTATTGTGCTTTCGGTACTTGGTCCTTTTTGTGTTTGTGCAGCCCTCCGTTTAGCCTTCTGGCGGTTCCCTGACATTGTGGGTAAAGTAGTGTTCGCAAGGCTGTTGTCCCCCTCCCCCAGTGGGCCTAGTTTAAAGTGCGCCTAATGAGGTTTGCGAGTCTGTGAGCAAAAAGGTGTTTTCCTACTTGTGTGAGATGCACCCCATCCCTTGCCAGTAGGCCATCCTCCTGGAAAAGCAGGCCATGGTCAAGGAAGCCAAAGCGTTCCTCCTGACACCATTTTCTAAGCCAGCCATTGACCTTTCTAAGCCAATGATTGATCTTCCCAATCACGTAAGCAAGTTAGAGAAAGGCAATTGATAAATGATTTTGACAATCATCTGACCAATTTTATTCCATCTTCATGATTTTCAGAACAGAACTGATGATACTATTTTTTCACACTGATGTTAACTAGGGTGGAGGAGCTTAATATTGTGATTTTTGCTGATGTTGGTAGTCTTTTAAAAAAGCAAAATACTGGATAGCTTACTTAGAGTGAAAATTGTGAAAGATACTGCTTCTAAAGTCTCTTCATTTAGTTGTGCAAATGGCACTGGTCTTAAAAGTTTCCCTAACTCTAAGTGGCATTCACATGATTTAAGAAAGTCCCAATATCCACAAACGTAGCTTCAAATTATCTCTTCAGTTGGATGTAATTACTGAAACACATGGCAACCAAAAAAGTCCAGATGACATAATATTCAGTTGACACAAGATCAGCTAGAAAATGCTCTAGCATTAAGAGGATTTTGTAAATCCAGGTGTCTCTTCTCCCAAACTGGTAAGTCAATAAACTCTCCCGAATACCATAGTGGAGACAGAAAATGTAGGTGAATGTTTTAAGGGACAAAATATTATTTTGTTATACATTTAGAGTGTCAACAATGGCAAAATAGCTTCAAACAAAAGTATGAGATTATTTATGTTCTTACCAATAAGTATGTGGAATGTATTTCCAGTTAGTGTGGAATTCACTAGAACACCACCAAGCTTCATAAGATCACTGTAATAAATATCATTTGGCCATTTCACTCGAAGATCAATATCCTAAGGAAACAAACATGTACACTAGTAACTTTTTCAAACATATCTGAAGGAGAGAAATCAAAATAGCACGTCACACGATTACAGCCAGTGTATTACAGTGGGCCAGTTCAGAAAAAGCAACTAGAAACAAAATAAATCTCTTCCCCTTCTGATGGAAGGCCAACAAGGAAGAATTCTGTCTAATTTCTCTAATGGTCAAGAGCTACCAAGAAAGCTCTCTCCCATGTTTCTAACTAACATCCCTGTAGAAGTTGAAGGATTGGGAGAAAGGTCTTCCCTAAAGATCTCAAAGTTCATATGAAAAAATGCAGTCCTTCAAACAGTATGTACACAAGGGTCATAGGATGTTATAGGTCATAACCAGAGTTTTGAATTATGCCTGGATAGACTGATGGCCAATGGAGATGTTTTCATAAGTTTTACTGACATACATCATTTTATGACACAGTAATTTGGTTTTATGAGCAAACCAGAAGTTAAACTAATATTACTAATAATATCACAGTATAACAGTATAGTACAATATAGTAATATATAATACTAATATTGTGCTATGGTAATAATATATTGTATTTACATATTACTTGTAAGCTGCTCTGAGTCCCCTTTGGGGTGAGAAGGGCAGCATATAAATGTCGTAAATAAATAAATAAAAATAAACCAACCCCTTGAAAGAGATACAGAGACATACATAAATTGGAATACCAAAATGTATGAGGACACAACATATTACATGAAAACTTTTGATTTATATATTTTTAAATATATTATTTGTAAGAAAACAACATACATTTCTAAGAGTTTTCTCCTTTCTCGTAACATTTGTATGACACACCTACACACAGTAGCTGATACACTATTTTATATATTTATATATTTATTTATTTATTTATTTATTTATTGTATACCGCTTTTCTCACCCCAAGGGGGACTCAAAGCGGTTCACATATAAGTAAAGGCAAAATTCAATGCCAGTACAAACAATTACAATTATTGTGGGTTTTTTCGGGCTATATGGCCATGTTCTAGAAGCATTTCTCCTGACGTTTTGTTTGGGCGCTGCGTTTGGTGGTCCCTATGTAGACTTGTCCACAGCTGCATGGTATACGGTAGACTCCTGCAGAGGTGAGAGGATCCCTCTTGTCCTTTGCTGAACGTAGCATTTGTTGAATTTTCTTGGTGGGTTTGTAGATTGTTTGTATGTTGTGTTTCCTCATCAGCTTCCCTATGCGGTGAGTGGTTCCCTTGATGTATGGCAGGAACACTTTTCCTCTGGGTGGATCTTCATCTTTACTCTTGTGGCTTGTTCTTGGTCTTGCAGCTCTTCTGATGTCTAAGGTGGAGTACCACCAAACGCAGCACCCAAACAAGAATCCAGGAACATGAAAGGCACTGCAGACTACTCCAACCAGAGAAATCAGCCATAGCAGAGCACCTGATGAACCAGCCTGGACACAGCATGTTATTTGAGAACACAAAAATGCTGGACCACTCTCACAACCACCATGTCAGACTACACAGAGAAGCCATTGAAATCCACAAACATGTGGACAATTTCAACAGAAAGGAAGAAACCATGAAAATGAACAAAATCTGGCTACCAGTATTAAAAAATTCTAAAATTGCAACGGCAAAAACAGCAGAGAGAAAAACAGGCAGGGACATCTAATCACCTTTCAAGAAGAGTTTGCTCCAAGCACAGTCAGCCCATTGTATGCTAATCAAGGTGGTCAGTTGAAAGATTCACACCAGCCCAACTTACAAAAGCCTTTTGTCTCACCCTGGTCATTCCACAGATATATAAACCCCTTTTTTCCCAGCTCCAGCAGACCTCACCTCTGAGGAAGCTTGCCATAGATGCAGGCAAAACGTCAGGAGAAATGCCTCTAGAACATGGCCATATAGCCCGAAAAAACCCACAAGAACTGAGTGTTTCCAGCCATGAAAGCCTTCGAAATACATTAATTACAATTATACACTACAGTTAGACATAAAACAAATTAAAACAATACATCCATAAGCAATAAAACAATCATTAAAACAATAAAACAGTCTCGTCCGTCAAATTGCCATTCCAGTCTTTCCGAAATGTTGCATATATTTTCTTCTACTGCCCAAAGGCCTGGTCCCAAAATCATGATTTTATTTTTTTTCTAAAAGCCAGGAGGGAGGGAGTGAATCTTACCTCATTTGGGAGTGTGTTCCACAGGCGGGGGGCCACAGCTGAGAAGGCCCTGTCTCTTGTCCCCGCCAGACGCATCTGTGCAGTTGACGGGAGCGAGAGCAGGGCCTCCCCGGATGATTTTAGATTACGAGGTGGGACGTAGGAGTGGATGCGTTCGGACAAGTAAGCTGGGCCAGAACCGTATAGAGCTTTATAGGTCAAAACCAGCACTTTGAATTGTACCCTGTCCTTCAAATCTCCATGGGGGGATCCAGGGCTGCTTCACAACAAGCACTAATTGTGTGTGGATAGGTGACACCCCTCCCACCGACAGGACCCAAAGATGACACAAACACTGAGCTGGTGAGAAAACGACCACAACTTGTTTACTGATTACAGGAACGAAAAGGTTGGCAGGCAGGCATGGGCTCACAATCATCATCAGTCAGCCTGCTGCTGACTGATACAACCAAACACCTCAGAATGCCACTGGCACAATACTAGCCTGCGTTACACGGCACTCCTGAGAACCACCGGATGCCCCCCCCCCCCCCGTACTGCTTGTGGGGTTGGGGAAAGGAAGCCAGATCTAGGGCCCATGCCACATGCCAACCTAAGTTGTGACGAGCTGACAATAACCAGACAAAAGAAAAAACAATACCCAAACCAAATAGGCATGCAGGGCGGGTGGGGTGGCAAGTTGGAGCAGGCACTGTGCCTGCAAGTGCCCAGTGCAGCCCTTTTGAGGGCTGCTGGGCAGTGGCAAAGGCTGGCCCCGACCAATCAGGAGGCTTGGGCAGGGCCAGCCACTGGTTGGCCAGCTGGCCAACCAGAGGGAAAATCTCCATGGCGCAGGGGGCTTCTGGGAAGGAGAAGCCCCTGCCACCATTTTGGCTGGCAGGAGAGCACCCCCCTGGCACAAGGAGCCTCGCCCAGTTAGTCGGGCAATGCATTTTTAGTGCTAATCACAAACATAAATACAGTTAAAAACAATTCATTAAAAATACATTATATTAATAAAACATTTGTTTAAAATCCTGCTGGTTTAAAATCAGTGTTTCCAAACTTTTTCATAGTTTGGAAAGTTCTGGTTTAGATGGATGACAATTATTTACACTGCTGTCAGTTGACAAACAAAATTAGATATGTGTAAGAAGCAGAAATATTTTCCATAAACGATTACTCCTGTTTTAAAATTTTCTTGCCTCTGTGGTTAATGCTTTAAACCACAGAGAATTATATTTTGTTTTAAATTCCACCATAAAGCATTTTTATAGTCCAGTTATGAAGTCCTGAGGTTAGGAGGTGTTAATAGAAGACAACCTCTAAAATATGTGAAAGGCTACTGAATGCCACTCTAATTAAATTCATGTGTAAATGTGAGTAAGTAACTGATTATGTATAATATAGGAAACACATGCTTTCATTAACTGGTCCTGCAAAATACCAATGTTTTACAATTCACCAATATTAAGAATTGGTTACAGTCAAAGGAAACAGATGAGGTGCTAAAGAAGATTGGTTTGTAATTTGTGCACTGATGACAGGACACTTGATTCCCTCCTGAGAGGATATAGTTACTGCTTGCTTCAGAGTGTGAGGCAAACATTTTCAACATTAAACAAGACACAGAAAAGGAAGTTTTATCAAAAGGGATGAATTGGCTGGTGAAACTGCTTCAGCAATAACCTGAGAAGCAACTGGCAAAGTTTTGTTGTGTTTATTCCCCCCCCCCCCCAATATTTTTCTTATTGCTTTAATAACAAAATAAGTTCTGGAATTAGACCAAAAAGCATAAAAGCATATACAGTAGAGTCTCGCTTATCCAACCTTCACTCATCCAACGTTCTGTATTATCCAATGCATTCTGCCTCCTGCCCAGATCCATGGCTGTTTCAATACATTGCAATGTTTTGGTACTAAATTCGTAAATACAGTGATTATTTCATAACATTACCATGTATTGAACTACTTTTTCTGCTGATTTGTTATAAAACATGTTTCGGTGCTTAATCATAATGTAATTTGACATTTAATAGGCTTTTCCTTAATCCCTTCTTATTATCCAACATATTTGCTTATCCAACCTTCTGCCGGCCCATTTATGTTGGATAAGCGAGACACTACTGTATGTGTATATCATTATTATAGGAACTTACAGTAGTTACAATACATTTTAAATCAAAATGAACTGGTGGCTTCAACATAATAATATTTTGTTCATTACGGGAACATAAACCTCAGTTATGAAAAGAAAAACATAACCACATGCAAAATAAATTGATTTTTAATTGTATAACATAACAAGGAGTATGTCAGCTATATATACTTCTTTCATTTGGGTCAAATGTAGTGAAAAAACCATGTAAGAAAGATATGAAATAGAGTACCTGGTACCCAGGTATGGATCTAACAGCCTCCACAACTGCTAAAGAAACCAGATGTTGAATAAATGGAATTCTTTGTCCCAGTTGGGATGTTAAAGGAATGGTGATATTAAAGGTGGATAAAGCAGCTCCCACAGGACTCAGCCAAGCATTTCCACCACGACCTGCAAAAAGGGGGGTGGGTGAGGAGAGAATTAACTATTATTTATATGCAAAGAAGAAATGCATTTATTTAGAGCATATGTAGGCGTTATACTCCCTGGTATCAGAGAAATCTGTGAACACCCAAACTATGCCCACAATGGTATGCACAACTTGAAACAGGCCTGGAGATGATTACTTACCCCAGACAAAAGGCTTCAGTGCATTTCTTTTTTAACCTGAGCATGGGATTTCAGTAGATAAGGAGATATTCACCTTCCTGTAAGACTCTAAGAGCCCACATGTCCCTATCTTTAGTCCTAAAAATTCAAGTGGTAGTTGAGTGATTATGGAATAGCCATATGGCTTTTCAGTTTTCAAAACTTCTAGGGAAATTTTACCAAGAAGAAATTACTCCCATCTTTCCCCAAAAGAGAAATCATAAGGATGGTGGAATAAGCAACATAGCAGCATTCAAAAACAACAGCAAGTGTTCTGCATATGCAGTTTTTAATTATAAAAATAATTTCAATTATAAATATAATTATAATCATGACCATTTAATGAAGCAAAAACTGTAAATGCCTTTATAAGTGTTTTATTTATGTCTTACAAACCACTTACAATTTTGAGATTGCTAGATAAAGCAAGTCTGAGTACAATAACCTGTACATACAGAAAAATCGAATCTTATCACCCTATTGTATTCTTATTCATCTGATCTATGAACCAGTGACACAGGGTATTTTCTCATGTTTCACACACTAAAAACATTTTTGTTTGCACAGAACTAAAAAAGTAGCCACACAGGTTTATTCTCCCAGTTCAGTTTTTCCCTCTATTGATATACACCTGACATGGCCATGGTCAAGAACATAATTGTAATTTGAAACATCTGGAGAATACCAAGTTGGGGAAGGCGGTTCTAGATATTTTAAGGGTAATCTCATGGAAAGTTTAAGCACAGAAAAGTATCATATGTGTGCTTCTATATGTGTGTGACCGTGGGAGTTTCTAGGTCTGATCAATGCTGGAATGAAAAATAATGTTAGTTCCTTGTATGAAAAATACAACTGAATTAAAATGGTCGCAATTTGGAATATTTTCATATCACATAGATACAGCTAGATTATAATGATAACTATGAAGCAGGGGTATGGGACCTGTGATCTTTCAAACAGCATTAAACCAATTATTGTTAGTCAACACAATCAATAGTCCTAACTGATGGGTGTTCTAGGTTGGAGGGTCACACGTTCCTCATGTGTGATGTAGAGAAATAGCTACACGACACAGGGTTGGATGCAGATTTAATTGCACTGAGAAGACTTACTGAAATAGTTAATCATAATCATCTTAAATCCCATTGATTTCAAGGATCTGTTTTATATACTAATGAATCTGGTTTCATCTGATGAATTTGTGTCACTGATATATTTAATCAGATAAAGGTTATTCCACAAACAACTGGTGGGTGTTCTAGGTTGGAGGGTTGTGGTGGCACAATGGGTTAAACCCTTGTGCCAGCTGAACTGCAGGCCTGAAGGTTGACGGTTCAAAAACTTCAGACGAGGTGAGCTCCCGTCTGTCAGCTCCAGCTTCCCATGTGGGGACATGAGAGAAGACTCCCACAGGATAGTAAAATATCCGGGCGTCCCCTGAGCAGCGCCTCTGTAGACAGCCAATTCTCTCACACCAGAAGCAACTTGCAGTTTCTCAAGTCGCTCCTGACACAGAAAAAAAATTCCACTAACACCAGAATTATAGCAACTTACCTTTCCCTTGAGTCTGTTGAACAGCAATTGCTATAAGACCGATTTCCTGTGGTATCTTATATATCAACCTGGCAAATTATATTAGAAAAGCATATTTCCGTCAGAACACTGTGTGGCTTTCATTCTGCTTCACACACAGCAGGTCAAAAGGATCATAGAAAAATGTAAAGCAGACATTTGTAAGAAACTTGTAAATGAAATAGGATGATACATAAGGGATCATTAAGATGTATGTTTAGAAGAGGTAGTTAAATATTCAACATTTCATTTTGAAGTGCTTATTCTCGCAGAAGTATATTACTATCTTCTATGGGTGACAACTGCTAATTCCCAACATTTGTTTCTACTTATAGTAAATTCATGGCTGTAGTCTTGAATACAACAGCAGTTTCTGATTATTTCGAAAACCAGGATGGTGGCAATAATGCTGTTTAAAAGCGACATTATCCCTTGAGAACTAATTATGATTTAACTACAGTAAATAAATCTACACCTTCTGAGAACTCTAGAGAACACTGGCTTATTTTAAGTTTGCGTTTTGCTTTTAAAACTGTTTCACTAAAAGGAATGCAGCTTCCCTTCTGGGGATAGGAAGAAAGAAAGGAGTGCATACTCTAACTTCAAAAAAATTACAATGTTAACTTTTAAAAAATCTTTGTGTGAGAATGCTCTTTAAACTGCTGTAGTAATACTGAATGGCACTGAAACTATATTCATTTTTTCTGATCTGGTAAAGAGGAAATTTAATTGCCAGTTGTCACTCACAGAGGATAGTAATGTAATATACCTCTGAGAAGTTGCCAGACAACTTTGTACATCAACAACTGGAATTCAAAGTAGACTTTCTTGAATATTAGAAGATTTACAGACCCATGGAATTAAGATAATAACACAATGACGCAAAGTAGTAGTAAACACAAATGTCCCCAGCTACTGATCAGTGAGAATTAATGCTTAGTTCTAATGGTTAGTATAAGAGTAAATATTCCCCCTGAAATTAAGTCTAATTGTATCCGACTCTGGTGGGTAGTACTTATATCCATTTCTAAGCCGAAGACCTGGTGTTGTCCATAGATACCTCCACGGTTATGTGGCCAGCATGACTGCATGGAGTGCCATTAACTTCCCGCATAAGCAGTACCTATTGATCTACTCACATTTGCATGTTTCTGAATTGCTAGGTTGGCAGAAGCTGGGCCTTACAGCAGGACCTCATCCCACTCCCCAGATCAGCAAGTTCAGCAGCTCAGTGGTTTAACATACTGCACCACCGGGGGCTTCAATGATTAGTATAAGTGCTTCCTAATTCACTCCTGCCTGATACTTTATAAATAAGTTTTGGGAAAATAAAGAAGACATAAAGGTCTGAAAATCTTATCCAAAATGTTTTCAACATCTTTAAATAATAACTCACTTGTTCATATAACTGTAAAAACTAAGTATTTTGGCTCTGGGAGCTAGAAAAGAGATGCGAGTAACGAGAAATACTTGAACCACAGGAATGGTAATGCAATGTTTTCTCACTGTAATGCAAATATCAGTGAGAGTCAATTTTTTGAAGCCAGATGATCTCTTTGCCAGTCTTACTTCCATTATATATTAAGCAGAACTTGATAATTGTTTCTCTTGGCCACCATGAATTGCTTATTGAGACTATCTACCACCAACCACTGCTGTTAAAAGTATATTTTAGTAATCTTGGGAGTTGGAAGAAAGATTCTAAGAGAGGTTCTTTGTATCCATTTAGGTTTAATATTGTCTTCGAGAAACTCGGCACATCAGAGTGAAACGTTGCTTCAGTTTTCAATACCACATTCATGTTACAAAAAAGGAAATTTAATTTAAATGTGGAAATGGTGCTATGAACAGATTATAAATATATCTGTTGCAACTGGCAATCTGTCTAGGCTTTACATAACAGGCAAGTCGTATGTCACAAATCTGAGGGAAAAAATCAGAAAGAAAAAAATTGGTTATGACACCAAACACTGGACTACAGAACAAGGATGTGATTAAGGAAGTATATGCATGGAGTTGCTAAGTGGTTTGGCTGTAGTTACCGGAGCCCAGGAATGACAAGACTGAGCTCCTGTGCTACTGAAGGCCAAGAGGAAATTCTGTAAGCAGGGATACAAAGTGGAGAAGTTGCTAATACCTAGACTGAGACGGCTGGAGACAGACAGATTTATTTAGGCTAGATAACTTTAGGTGCATTACCACAGACTTCTAGGGCCATAATAAATTGCTTGTGAAGGTTATATTTTTGTTACAGAAAGAAGCAATTGTAAACATTTTTTTCATTCTAAAGTACCTTAGAATTACAGAGTTGGAAGATCGTAAGGACCATCCAGTCCAATCCCTTGCCATACAGGAAATAATCAAAACACTCCAGACAGATGCCATCCAGCTTCTTCCGAAACCACAGGAGAAGGAGAGTCCACCACATTTCGAGGCAGCATATATCACTGTTGAACAGCTTTTACCATAAGGAAATCCTTTCTAATGTTCAGGTGGGCATGGATCTCTTCACACGATGAAAACTTCCTTGATATCTAATGTTACTATTTTTCTAATTGGTCTTTTGATCTGAAATAGGTTATGCCCCTCTATTACATTTCAATCACAAGACTCATCCCATAAAGTGTCAGTTATGCCTGTTATATCAGATTTGTTTTGCCGTGTTAACAGTTTGAGTTTATCTTGTTTATTCCCCTGTTCTGTTGGGTTCTTGTAATATTCACCCACTTCTCTGTAGAACAGTTGAGCTATTATCTCCAGCACTTGATGAATTCAATTTAAAGACCATGTGATCCATTTTGAGAGGCTCAAAAAGGTTTCTGCAGCAAAAACAGTCCTGCCAATTGCTATGAGTTGCAATCTATCACTTGCCAAAAGTTTATCTTCATGAAATTGAGACCATGGCCCAAGAAGCCAAATAATTGCTGGAAGCATCATCTGCAGAGCCAGTTGTTTATTGCTGCAGTTCTCCGCTCCCTTCCTGGGCTGTGGCTTTCAACTGGGATCAGAGACAAAATGATAACCTATGCATAAGTTTCTTCAGCTTCGCAACTGGAGCCTTGTGATATCTTGAAGTATCATTAGGTCCCACTTGGACCAAAAGGAAGAAGTAGAGGTCAGTTGGCTTGACAAATCATTTTACCATCAGAGAAAGCACATCTCCCGAGTCATCCTGTCAGGTCTGCAAACAATTGATTCTGTTCCCCTCAATATGGAAACCTCTAGTACTACCACCATAGGCAACACATCTCTTTGGAGGAGTGTTAGGAAACATTCAATGTGCTGACTCTTCAAAGGTCACTTAGGGACTGGCATTGTTGTTCTTACTCCTGTTCTTGGTAATCAAGAGGGAACTTCTAATCGATTCTTTAGCTCTTACAGAATGAGCCTTAGTCCTTTTGTGTCACATTCTATCAAAACTTTGTTTTCTGCTGCCCTGGAGACTAGAACGTGGAGCAATCGCTTCAAACTACAAGAAAGGAGATTCCATCTGAACATGAGGAAGAACTTCCTAACTGTGAGGGTTGTTCAGCAGTGGAACTCTCTGCCCTGGAGTGTGGTGGGGGCTCCTTCTTTGGAGGCTTTTAAACAGAAGCTGGATGGCCATCTGTCAGGGGTGCTTTGAATACAATTTTCCTGCTTCTTGGCAGGGGGTTGGACTGGATGGCCCATGAGGTCTTTTCCAACTCTATGATTCTATAAGTCTCCTTTCTGAGTATTGTCGAAGGCTTTCATGGCTGGAATCACTAGGTTCTTGTGGGTTTTTTCGGGCTATAGGGCCATGTTCTAGAGGCATTTCTCCTGACATTTCTGTGTTCTCAAATACAGAAACCAGCCTGGACACAGCATATTATCTGAGAACACAGAAATGCTGGACCACACCAACAACCACCATGTCAGACTACACAGAGAAGCCATTGAAATCCACAAGCATGTGGACAATTTCAACAGAAAGGAAGAGACCATGAAAATGAACAAAATCTGGCTACCAGTATTAAAAAACTCTAAAATTACAACAGCAAAACAGCAGAGAGGAAACAACCAGGCACATCTTAACACCTCTCAACAAAAGATTTTCCCAAGCTCAGACAGGCCTTCAAATGCTAATGAAGGTGGTCAGTTGAAACATTCACACCTAGCTCCAGCAGAGAAGAGCTCCTTGCCCCACCCCAGCCATTCCACAGATATATAAACCCATTGTCCTAATTCCAACAGACCTCACTACCTCTGAGGATGCTTGCCATAGATGCAGGCGAAACGTCAGGAGAAATGCCTCTAGAACATGGCCCTATAGCCCGAAAAAACCCACAAGAACCTAATAATAATAATAATAATAATAATAATAATAACAACTTTATTTTTCTATCCTGCTACCATCTCCCCGAAGGGACTCGGGGTGGCTTACATGGGGACCAGGCCCAGTCAATAGAATTAAAACATAGCCCAGTAAAATACTTTGCATTATAATAAATTAAAACAAAAAATAACCCATACAAAACATCATAAAACAAAAACCATCAACAACCAACAACCAGTGGCCAAGTATAATGTGTGAGTTTAGAGATGAGAGAGCAGAGCAAGGGCTTGTGCAATACAACTGCAGGGCGGGGCTGGCACTAAAATGCAAAAATCAGATAATTAAATTAGGGCTAGAAGGGCCACGTCAATTGATGAACCGATTAATCAAAGGCACATTGGAACATCCAAGTTTTCAGGTCTTTATGGAAGGTGGACTGGGTGGGTGCTAATCTAATCTCTCTGGGGAGGGAGTTCCAGAACAGGGGGCCACCACTGAAAAGGCCCTCTCCTTCGTCCTCACTAACCGTGCTTGTGATGGAAGTGGGAGCGAGAGGAGAACCTCCCCAGCAGATCTCAAAGTTTGCACAGGTTCACAGGGGAAGATGCAATCACGAAGATACATGTTACGCATCCTGGTCAATGTGCTCTGCTCTACCCAAGAAAATCTCAAGCTTCCCAAGAGTAGACCTGGGGACCTCAAATTGTTAGACCATCTCTTCCAACAGAAGCACCAACTTGTACTTGCTGCAGG